AAATTGATAACAGAAGCATTGATTGTGCTTGACTATAATATGCAGACTTTATATGTATACTGAAAAGCATCAGTTCTCTGTAATTAATAACTCCATTGTTTCCTAGATATGATTACCACTAAATGTGCTATATTCCAAAAGCCAAATCAAATCTGAGAGGTCAGCAGTTGAGGGGATGATAAGGGCATCCTTCATTCTTCCTATCCAGAGCAACTTTGCTCTTGACAGGAAAATGTGATGCAGTTTGAGCTAAATTAAGGGAACACCATAAAGGCTGGGGAAAAGAGAGTAATGGGTTGGGTGAAACAGGGAATTAGGAGTTTGAGGATATCAGGGAAATGTGCTAGAAATTAATCCCATCCCGAACAAATCCAACCAAATCAGCTAAGTGCTGCAGTACAGGACAGTAGCAATGATACAAGGATCAACAATGATAAAGGTAGTTCTTGACTTAAGACTACAGTTGGGCTCAGAATTTCTACTGCTAAGCAAAACAGTTGTTAAGTGAGTCACACCCACTTTTATGACCTTTTCTGCCACGGTTGTTAAGTTAAATTACTGTAGTTAAGTGAATCATGTGGCCGTTAAGCAAATCAGGCTTTTCCCCATTGTCTTTGCTTGCCAGAAGCTGGCCTGGGAAGGTTGCAAACAGCGATCCCATGACCCCAGGATGTGGCCACTGTCATAAATACATGCCAGTTGCCAAGGTCAGAATTTTAATCATGTGACTGTGGGGATCCTGTGATGGCCGTAGGTGTGAGGACCCATCATATCACTTTTTTTAGTGCCACTGTAACTTCAAATGGTCACTAAATAAATGTATATACAGTAAGCCGAGGACTACCTGTATTAATGTCAGTTATGACCCAAAGCTTTTTCTGAGTAGCACGTGGAAATGTATCCTATGGAAGCATCTCAACACTTTTATTAAGAACCAAATAGCTGAATGAGAGTCTCTCTCTCTGATCCTGCCTCTGGCTTCCCATCAATGGGGAGACAGATGCATCTGAGAAGTACATCAGCAGAACATACATAACAGCAATTGTTCTTATTTGCTTGCTCATGTTCAGAGCAACTGGTTTTCACCACACCAAGCCTGCTCAATATTATATTGAGTCATAATGACCAATAGTGACTAATAACCTATTCTTTTATAGATTTTACATAATATCCTTGCAAAGATGACAAGGCTCGTCTCATTTCATGGGAACAAACTCCTTAATTTAGCAAAATATTGAGTGAACAATTTACTTCTGTTTGTTCTGGATTTCCCACCACTCTTCATCATAGAATGATCCTCAGTTCAACTGTTATAAAATAACAGACTGTCAGTAACTATCATTGTCAAGGAAAAGTACTATATATATATAGTACTATAATATATATTTTCAGTTTAAATGGAAACTTAAGAAGCCAGAGCCAATAAATACAAGCAATCTAGCATAATTTCTGTAATAGCCATTCTGGACCAAACAAATATTAAGAACTATAAAAAATACAAAGATAATCATGGTGAGATTTCCCTTTCCCAAAAGCTCAGCATTTTATATCCTTCTTTGAAATTATGGACATTTCCCAATCAATTTGTCCCCATTTATAGAGCACAGTGTATACTAGCCTATGCTTGGAGCTGGCAATCTGACTGCATTTGTCTGGAGTTGACAACCTTAAGGCAAAGGCACTTTATGACTCCATTATCAAGGACATATCACTATCTTAACCTAGAAAGGTGGCTGATGTAAACTTTTATATGGGTAGAGGATTAAATAAATAATTCAAAGCAGACAATAGGTAGATCTGGATTGTCATGTGAATATGCTTATGACTTTTCTACCTTGTTTGTTAAAACTCTGGCCCTAGAGGAAATCTTAACTTATCAAGCTGAACAGAGTGTGGTCTAACTGGAGGCCTAACCTATAACAACTGAAGCAGCAAGGGATATTTATTTCTTGTTTTCATTGCTTTTCATACTGTGAGGCATCCCCTTTAGCAAGATTTAGGAGTAGGAGGAGCCAGAATACCAAGTAACTCCCAGTAAATAATTTGCATTGTTCTTTCCAGAGAAAATTAATTAGATCTATCTCAACTGGGACTTCAGGGATAGAGCAAGTCAAAAGGAGGTAACTTTGGCAGCTGCTTATCCTGTTATCTTAGATTCTTTCCAGCTTGTAGATCTGAAGGATGTAGGCAGAGTGTGTAGAGAATTATGGGTACCATGTGCTTATTCAGCTTGCCCCTACTAGTTGATTAAAATAAAATTAAAATAGCTAACAGGAGGTAGCACTGCAGCTCCAGGTGTGTCTGGATAATTATCTGGACCCAATACTGGGTAGAATACTGTACAGTACTGAAGCAGCTGTGGTACTCTTGGTGAACTATCTTCATCAAAAGCCAGATATGGAGTTGGCCTAGCCCTGTTAGATTTTTGGTACCATCAGTCATTGTAGGATTGACTTTGGGAGCACATTTTGCAATATTCTAGTCCCTTTTTCTGAATTGTGTCCTGACAGTCTATAGAGAAATGTGCTTCTCAGCCTTTGAAATGGCTAGCATTGGAGGAAAAAAAGGGACAATATTATCCAGTATAGTCTCAGTTTAATTTGTTGCTCAAAAATTAATTGCAATGATTTTATAAAGGCAATTCTACTGCTTTTGATATTGTAGAAAAACTGAAATTGTATGTAATTTTTCCTTTTTAAAATTTCTTTTGAGTTTAAATTATATAGATTTTTTTGACTAATTGTAAATGAAATTAATGTATTTTGCCTTCAACTGCTTTTTGTACAATTTTTAAGGGAAAAAAATAATAGTGATATACAAACCCTTAAAACTCTAATAGACTTAACTATTTATGGCAGTCTCTTTCCTGTCAAGATCTTCAAGAAAAGGTCTTCTAAGGATTCCCCAAGTGTCAGAAGAAAGCAAGGTCATGCTCCTACACTACAGAAACTTGCATTTATCCTCTAATAATCACCTGGTGTATTCATAGTTGCAATTGTTACTGCAATTATTAATCCAATATAGTCCACTGCAAATGAAGGCTTCTTTTCTGAAGGTTAACAAATGTAATCTACCATGATGATCCAGGATCAATTGGTAGATAGATGATTTTCGACTTCCTGGTCTAGGGCTAAAAGAGGGAGAATGGCCCAAAGAAACAGATAAACCAAATAAACAAAGTCACTGGCTTCCATGACTTAGGAAGGACTAGAACCTGGGTCTCATGTTTTTAATCCAGCACCTTAACCACAACATCACATTGGCTCTCAGTATTCACAGCATTTACCCTTTAATATTTTGTAATAAATTTTGAAAATTTTCTGAGTCCTGTCTAGGAAAATAAACAAATAAATAAACAAATAAAATGATATTATGCATGATATTTTACTTTTTAGACAATCTCTAATTAATGAGAAATCATTTAGAGAGAATTCTAAATGGATTGGTTAGTGAAATCCAGAGGCAAAGAACAGCTCAGCAATCCATGCCTTCCAAAGAACAAACAAACAAAACATCTGCTCAAAGTAGCAAAAATCCACAAACACTCAAAGCTTATTCTTAGACAATACAACTAGAAAGAACTACATATTGTAATTTCACAAAGGAGACTGATGGACAGTGCAGTAGAAGCCATGTCATAGAAGCACTGCTCTGGACAACACCATAATAGGACAACATCTACTTGAATGATTTTTAAAATTTAACTGCTTTTTATTGTGCCACTTTTCAATTAGATTCTGCTGTCAGCAAGAGGCTTCTGTTGTTCTCTGCCTTCAACTAATTTTCATTCTCTTACTCTTTGCTTAAAATCTTACTACTTGAACTGACCTTAGTAACAACTTTATGATCCACTTAATGCTTTCCTATGGCTCCCTCTTTGCTTACCCTATTTGACCTACCTATTAACATTTTTAAAAGATGCTCCTCAATTCTCCAAGTTGCTATCAAGCAGTGCTGTCTGTAGAACTGATACTTCTTATTCTCATTACAATTAAGGCAATAATGACTGAATTAGTCTCCATGCTCCGCAGTATAGAAGGAATACAAAAATAAAGCAATAGCAGGAGTGATTTAGTGATGGTTCAGTCATGACTGTTGGAAGGGAGGGGGTTCAAATTTTATGCAAGACACCATGGCTCATGTCAATTTACCATGGCTCATGTCAATTTCTCCAATATTCAGCTCTTTCAGTAAAACTAAATGGCTTCCTTGACAAGATGTTTGTCATGTTTGCAAAGTCCTTATGTGCCATATTTTATAGAAAGAGGAGAATCCCTGAAAAAGTGCTCCACAAAAATCATGTTTTTATCTTCGAACCAGCTATAAATGCAGAAGCCAAAATCTGCTATCACATGGATGTTTGATCATAAAAGTCATAAATCATGTCCCTGGAAGTGAGGGCTAGGGTTCAAGAACTTGCAGTTTGAAACCCCTGGAAGACTTTTAGAGTTGATTGATCCAATATTGGCATATTCTCTGTGAGGGTTTTATAATACCTACCTCCACCGAATACAAAAATGCCTATGATTGGATCCAGCATTTAAGAAACACTGTCAGATTAGTCTTTTCAAAGTATGGATATATTATGGAACATTATGAACAACCTTCCTTGGTGAGAATATTATAGTTATCTCACCAACATCCACACTACTTGGCTTCTAAAGCAGGCAATCCCTTAAGCTTGTTTAAGAATCAACATCTTGAATGTACCTTCTTTAGCAAATCTTTATGGGTAATGGGAAATTAAGAATCATGGGATATTGATGATTTTGAGATCATTCAGGTTAGTCTAAACCAATATCCTAAAGCAGAGAAACATCAATAGACACAAATAACACACACAAAAAAAATAAGAGTATAGATGTATTATAAGAGAGAAGTGCTGCAGCAAAAAACCACAAACAAATCCTTCTTCCTCAAGGCCTAACCCCACAAAGCATAAGAACTTAATGCAACATTAAAGGTTACCCAAGCAGACACACATACACCCATTACCACACCTCCATTTCTTTCAGGACAGGATGGTCTTCTATTCCTGGAAAGAGGACTCTCATGGCGTAGGTGCAATAATCCAAAAAGGGGATGCCAGCCCCATCCAAGTCATTGGTCAGCTCATGGATATCAGTCTGCAGCTCAGCAAAAGCTGGGGAGGAAACAGCAGATTAAAAAAGGTGCCCAGATAAAGCTTCCTTTCAAGAACTCAATGGACTAATAGTACCAATTGTACTGTCAGCTAAAATATTATTTAAAGTGGAAATATAATTAATTCATTAAAATGGCATCATAACTTACTTAAATATGAAAAGAGAACCTAGAGGGTTCATGTTCCCAAAACTCAACCAGTAGGTATTTCTTCAATGAAAATAGCTTAGCATTCTGACACTGAAGAATAAAGTGGTAGACCTGGACTAATACTTCAGTGTGAACTTTGACTTGAACTTATATACAAAAAGGTACTAAAAAAAAATCAAGGCAGATTTTTTCTTTAAGGAAGACTAGACTAACTAGACCAGTGATGGCGAACCTTTTAGAGACCGAGTGCCCAAACTGCAACCCAAAACCCACTTATTTATCACCGGGTGCCAGGTGGGTGTGGCCCACTGGGTGGGTGTGGCTGTGGTGGTCATGGCAGACTGGGTGGGTGTGGCCAAGGTGGGCATGGTCACCTCGATGTTGCTCATGGGGAGGGAGGCCTGTGGGGGCCAGGCAGGGTTGGGGGAGATCCAGGGGTTCTCTGGCAGGTGGTGTGGTGGGTAGGAGGCTCATCCTGTGGGGTGAGGTGAGGCAGGACAGGGCTGCCATTATCTCAGGGCAAGGCAAGGCAAGGCAGGGGCCGGGGCAGCTGCTGCCTGACACCATCGGCCCCCGCACACAGAGGCCAGCGAGCGCATGGGGGCCGACAGTGTCTGTCAGCAGCCACAGCCTGCCGGCCCCTCGACTGGCACACTCTGGGGCTTTGCAGCCCACCACCAGCAGTTCAGAGAAGTGCCCACAGAGAGGGCTCTGAGTGCCGCCTCTGGCATGCGTGCCATAGGTTCGCCACCACTGAACTAGACAAAGGAAAAGTGATTCTCTCCTCTTCTTTCCCATCTTTCAAATGGAACAACCATTCGGTGATAAAGTACTTATGGAGCCCTTGGTGGTCTCTGAACCTAATTGTTTGCTTGCAGATGTTTCAATTCCCAACTAGGTAATATCATCAGTGGGATTTGCTTCCTGTTTATATACAGTAGGTTGCCCTGTTATGTAAACGAGGAGGAAACCTGGCCCTGATTCGCACTGATATTACTTAGTTGGGTGTAATGAAATGTCTGCAAGCAAATTATTAAGTTCAGAGGGCACCAAAGACTCCACAGTTCAACTTTGAGCTACAGATATTCTCTTCTGTAGGAATATAGTTTTTGTCTGGGTTGTTCACAAGAAAAATAGGGCACACCCTACAGCTTTAAATTCACCTACAACAAGCCAGGTTGTTTGCTTTTGAGTTCTAAAGCTGGGGAGGGGGACTTTAGTTGAAGGAGGAGAGGAATGCAGGGGGAAAAAATCAAATTAATGGCACTTTAAAAGGAAGCTAGAAATGGCAGAGGGCTGCAGGCTGATCAGTTTGATGAGAAAAAACAAACCGTCAGTTTGAAAGGCGCACTATCTTATCTGTAACTAGTGGGACTACAGAAGAGAAAAGGCAGGGAAGATTCTGCAGCTTTTAATTAAAAGCAGATCCTTTTATCTGCCAGCTACGGAAGACAAGGCAAAATCCTTTCCTTGTACTCCCTCCCTCCTTCTCCAATCACTCTGTCACTATTTCTATCTACAGGGCTTTTTTTCCCCCAAACTTCCTTTTTTTATTATCTAATTTTAGGAGTCTGCTTCTATAGCAGCTTCTGGGCCAACTTGCAGTTGGCAGGGTCACAGCCCCAGGCTTTGGCTTGTGGTGATAATGGGCAATTAGGTTTTATCAGCAGGATCAGAAACAGTATTCTGTCCAATTTCTCAGCATCTGTCTGTCACATAATGAGAGACCCACGTCTTTCACAAGCAGACCTCTCTCTTCCTTTAAAACTTTTCCTCTTGAAATCTTGCTAAGTTCCTTCCAACTGTACTAAACAAAATCTTCAATAAAATTGCCTCGTCTGACCTCAAAGCAGTGTCTAAGCTTACAGAAGCTTTGGAGGTTGCAAAAGCTATAATGCCAGGTGCAGCATAAACCTGGTTCCTAGATTTTTTAAATCAGCATTGACCTACCTGCCATATGATGGCTCCCCTGCCAATCAGATTCCCCAGTCAGAATGGCCAATGGTACAAGGGAATTCTGGTAATTACAATTACAATATACCTGGAGGAAACCATGCTAGAGATTTTTGTCTTAAATCGTGGTGAATTGCTTCCTATTCCTGTTCATATAACATGGTAACAAAATTGGAAGCAGTACAAATCTGATCATTACTCGTTATTTGGCAACAACGTTGTAGGTTGTTAATATTGGTGGAAAAGATCCATTCTTATCCCTTTCAGGACAACATATATAACCTATAACTTTTTGTTTTACTGTACTGTTTTAGCTGTTGAGCAACATCTCTAACATTAATTTTTTAGAGCTTGTTCTCAAAGCGAATATACATTCTCATGTTCTAAGTAATGCTGAGATACTGAAAGGCAGGTGTGCTCAAATTGTGAGTTGTGAGCCCCCTGCCCAAAGTGCAATGATCAACTCTAAGTGGCGATTCCAAAACGTTTTACATTCTGATTGGGCAAAGTAGGAACACAAACATATCTCACTCAAGGCTTTGCTCCCACTTTGTGCAAGCTAGTTGCTGGCTTGCTTTGCAAATGGAAGGATTGTTGAAAGTCAGTCTCAGCTTTGCTCCCTGCTTTGCCTGCACAAGTCTGCAGTGGGCAGTTATGGTTTGATAATAGTCGATTCCCAGACTGACAAGGATCACCCAGAAGACTATTTAAAAACAGCCACGTGTAGGCTCCTTAATTATCAGTGAAGAGACTCATTCACTGGCTCAAATTAAGGAAGTAAAAGAAGAAAATGAGGAATCTGTCTCAATGTATCTTGGGGATATATTGAGAAACATTTCAGTTGGCAGGATTTTTGCAGCCTTCTCTCTTTCTTAACACATTTCCGCTAAGGAGATTTTGTGAGATTCATGATTGGAAAATGAATTTATTTTAGCTTTAGGAAGAGGCAAAGAGCATGATAGCAATCACGGTGTTCGAAAAATTCTGTGATATATAAAGATTTAATTTCAAATGTAAGTGGTGTAGTTACTTCTTACTTAACCTTAACTCCAGTGAAATTATTCTATTAATGGGAGAGGGAGATATTGCAGAACTGTATTTATTATTTTAGGGAGATATGGCACTTGAAATGTTGAGAACCCATGCTATAGAGCCACAAAATCCCAGATATCCAAATTTTTGCGCTCCAGGTATTATATGTCATGGTTCCGACAGATGAAACTTTTTAAAAGAACTTTGAGGCATTGTTAACCTCAAATAATCTTTTATTAGAGAAACAAAGCATCGGCACTACATAGTTAAAGCCAAAAACTGAATCCCCCACACACAAAGTAGAAAAGCACAATTCCCTCCTCCAATTAATAGTCATAAATCACATTCCCCAATTAGCTTGAAGGTGGGCTTTCTCCCCAGCTCTCCAGCCCCAAATCTTTATCAGCTCTGGGCATTGTTGTTATGACTAACTGGATTCTCATCCACATCCCCCCTCCCAGCATCATCTAACTCTAAAAGGGAAAGAGAAAAATAAATGTATTTCCATCTGTTGTCAAAGCAAGAACATCCGATGTTAGCAGCATTGACATTATAGCTATAATACTGTCTCACTCAAAGCAAATCTGAATATAAGTATCCTTATACCCACGCTGACATTTACTGTACCACACTGACTGTAAAAACAAATGAAAAAGGTCTTTCAGTGAAAAAAAGCGGAGTGACCAAGAATGTATAGGCAGTAATTTTCTGTAACATTATGAAAAAAAGCATGTTACTGTGATTTTTGTTTAGTAACATAACTTTACCTGTAATTAGGGCATTTATGAACCATAACATTATGATTAATATCCTTGCAACATTGCGTTTCTACTCTGATCTTCTTCTCTGAAAATTGTACGGTTCTGTGGTTTCCAGATAATGTATCATCCAGATAGCTTACAGAAGAAACTTGACTTGTTTCAGTTACAGAAAATTATTTTGCATTATATGGATTAATCATTAAAAAATAAATAAATGAAAATAAATTCTAAATTAAACTTATGCATTGCTTTATGGCCAGTTGAAACCGTAGGATGTGGACAGGGGAAAAAGAATCTCTATCTGATGTGATTGTTTCACATGGTTATAGTCTGCAAATCTAATAGTCGGTCTTCTGAAGGAAAGAAGTTTTAGTGTTATCTAAACAACTAAATCACAGAAACTAAACTGGGTAGAATGCTACAGAGGCCCATAAAGGAAACCTCAATCTACCCATGATGGTGGAAGATTCATTCATTCAGTAACTAATGTGATATGTTTGGTGCTTTAAAAAAAAACAAAGGAAATGGAAAGGAAAGCAGTGCTACAGTGGGGACCGCTGAAATGAGCTTCTAGCTGTAGTTTTTTTTTCTTCTTATAGTAATGGACTGACAACAATATAAATGACAGAATGGTAGCAAGCATCCCTCACCTTCCTTGCATTCCAAGGCCACACGTGATTCCAAGTTGTCCATTTGCAGCTGGAGACGTTTGAGGGTACGGTCAGCATCTCGAGACTTTCGTTTGTATGCAATAAGGACAATTATGATGATGAGCAGGAGAAGACCGCCTCCTCCACCAATGCCAATAATGGCTGGCAAAGTCAACAGGTTGTCAGAATAGATCAGCAGACTCCCTGGAGAGAACTCAAACCCCCCAGCCTTAATCTGGAAGACACAAAGGGAGAAAAACACATAATACTATCTCAACTGGGGCTCTCTTACACCAAAGGAAGACTTTTATTCTGTCTTTTATTTATTCAGTAGACGAGGAAATTGAGCATATTTTCAAATCGGGCAATTGAGGAGATTGCCCAGTTTCAAAATATTGAAAAGAACTACTGTCATAAGGACATTATCAACATATACTTTTCCAACTGGTGGTCAGATCTATTGTCGCTGCAGGATAAGGCACCTTCTTTTAATTTGTACATATTTTATCACTAAGAAGAAAAATATACTTGCAGAGTTCTTGGTGCTCTCTGAGTTTGCTTGTTTCTTGCAGATGTTTCATTACCCAAACTAGGTAATATCATCATCAGCACTGAAGATGTTTGGGTAATGAAACCTGTGCAAGAAAACAAGCAAACGCAGAGAGCACCAAGGACTCCTCATGTCAACCCTGAGCTACAAATATTGTCACATTGATTTTTATTCTAATAATAGCCCAGAGATTCTTTGTACTCAGAACACTATTACTACAGTCTGTGGTACCCTTACTATGCCCATTTTCTAGCTAACACTGGCTGCTATCTTTAGAGGGAAGCAAATGTAAGAGCAGGAAAGAACAATGGTGAGATACTGTAGGTTAAGTCTCACACTGCCAGAAAGGAGATTAGATGAGATATAGATATATGCAGGCAATTGCTGATGCCTGAAAGGAGTAAACATCAAGTTTGATATCTCATTCAAATAACATTATAATAACACATGGATGAGGGACCTGGAGGAAGAAATGATTTGGGTCCTTTTTGAAAATTCAAGGCTATAATGAACTCCAGAGTAAGTCGGAATTGTTGTACTAAAAACTGATCTTATATAATTGTTGTGTACAAAGAAAGAACAGGTAAAAAATTCAGAGATAAATAACACTTTTCTGTTTCCCTCTGAAGCCAACAATATTAAAAAAATTAAATCAAGTTTATGATCCATTTAAGTTTTGCGTAAACACAGATATAAGTCAATTTTGTCAAGCAGCCACATTATTATGATTGTTTTAAACTTATGCATAACTGTGTTTACCTTTGTAAGCAACTTTTCTAACACATGCAGTTTTGTATAATATGTAAATTTTTGAGTGATAATTTTGAAACAAGGATTGTGCAAAATCACCAAATAAGAATCTGAAGGGTGACTATATTCTGATCTACATCATAATTTGGGAACTACTAAGCCACTTTGTTTAAAAAATTGAATTGTGTAATTACTCCAGCATTCCTTCCTCAAGTACAGTTAAGAATTTCTAAGTGGAATATATATGCTGCAAACAAGAACTTGGTTCAGAAGCAATGAAAGCCTTGGAAAAAATACTGGATGTTATGACATATCTGTACCTAATAACTTCAGAATTATGTAATAATGACCTTCCCAACGATGATCTATGGAAATGAAAATTGGGAGTGTGCAGTAAAAGGACAGAAAGTGTATTGACTCTTTTAAACTTTGGTTTTGACTCCTGAAAATACCATGAATGTCCAAGAAAAGAAGCAAATGGTCATAGAACAAATTAACACAGAGCCCTCATTAGAGGAATAAATGACCAGGCTGAAATTATCATATTTTGAACATATTGTGCCAAAGACCCAGTTCTCTTGAGACATCCATGATGCTGGAAAAGGTGGAAGGATAAAGAAGAGGATGATAGTAGCAAGGTAAACAGATTCATTTGCAATAGTGAAAGGTACACTATGGGGAGATCTGATGGACCAGGCTGGGGACAAATCATCTTGGAGAAGGTCTGTTTCTATGGCTGCCAAAATTCAACGCCAAACTGACAGCACACAATCAATATTAAAAACTAAACAAGCAATATGCTACAAATAGATAAACAGCATTGTTCCTTAAATAGCAGAATTTATATTTGGAAAGGGAAGGAGGGAAGAGTGACAAAATTCAAAGGACAATGCCTATATTCTGCAATCTTTGTAATTTCATAATTCTTTTAGCAAAAAAAATAAAATAAGCACTTGGTGCTTATTATAAGCCTATCCAGGTAACACAAAAGCACAAAACAGGGGCAGGCCTGACTTGCCTTACCGTCACTTTATGTTGTCCTGTGAGGTTTGGGGACTCGCAGAGCAGTTGAGTTTCAGAAACAGTAAGAGCACACGGAGTGTCACCAATGAGTACAGTGTAGTTTAACCGGGAATTACCAGATGCAGGTGGGAGTAGGTTACGGCCCTTTAAAAAGAATAAAAGTAGGTTGTTTGTTGTTGCTGTTGTTGTTGTTGTTGTCACTTAATCATGTTCAACTCTTTGTGACCCCACGGCACAATAGCATGCCAGGTTTACTTACTTACTTACTTACTTACTTACTTACTTACTTACTTACTTACTTACTTACTAACTTAGATGTTTACCCCACCTTTATTACTTTATAAGTAACTCAATCTGACAAACATACAGAATACTCCTTTCTCCTCCTATTTTCCCCACAACAATAAACCTCTGAGGTGAGTTGGAATGAGACAATCACCGGCCCAAAGTTACTCAGACAGCTTTTATGCATATGGACTAGAACTCAATCTCTCAGTTTGAAGGCTACTACTATAGTCAACCTTATCTTTTTAATTCATATCACTTTGTTCAGCTTTGAAAAGGAAGTATGAGGAATTGAAAGAAAAGATATCAAACCACTGAAGGGATAGGTTCAATAGCTTATTCTTGGACGAGGAGAAGGACCAGTAAGTGATCAGAGTGATTATGTACTTACAGTGGTTCCCCTCTTCTGTCTTTGACACTGTAATGGGAAGAATCAACCAAGATTTTTTTTTCTCTTCTTAGCAATTACATTTCAATCCTACACTTGTACATTGTGAGTACCAGGATCTTTGTCCAGCTTAATGGACAAAGCCTTCCCTGAATGGGTCTGGGAATTCTGAACAACAATATATCTACCTAACAGTGTACTTGTCTAATAAGACCAGGAGCTATGCTCAAGAAGAACATTTGTTTCTAAAACCTGCAGAAATGAAGTTGAACAAATTATTACCTTGAGAATAAGAGGAGAACTTGGCTTGAGCTCCAACATACCAGATGGCAAAGATTCAAAGACAGGATCTGGGTAATAGATAAAGTTAGTTCTGTTGATGATCAACAAGGCTTGGACATTGTCCATAATAAAGCCAATTTCATCTGGTCGATCACCAAGTTCTGAAGGGCTCTTGACTGGGTTATTAATGGAAGGAGCATAACACACCATGGTGGTATCATTGTAGACTGTACAATTCTGAAAGGCAAAAGTTAGCAGGCTTAACCACTTTTCTCTTTCATTAATTTTATCTTATTGCCAAGAAAAACCAATTTCCCCAAGCTATGTGCCATACCCTTCTTAACTTTTTCACACTACTAAGCAGGCCCCCGTACTGCTATTATTCTGTGCTCTTTGAGTAGCTGTTATGTGCTTCTACTAGCTGGGAAATTGGAAAACATGGAAGACAGCAACTTCCTTCCCTTTTTATAGGAAAGGTATATTAAAAACAGGAACCAGTCACTACATGGAGGGGACAGTAAAGCGATCCCTTGGAATGGTGGGGAAGAGGGGTATCTTGACAGCAACAGGCAGGGGAAATTTTCAGAACAAGAAGGTTGAATGAAGTGTGGAGTGTCTTGCATTCTGACTCCAAAATGGTAACCTTTCTTTTGGACCAGAAGCTGTGCCAATAATTAATTTATTCAGATTCTTAAACAGCATGCAGGCCCCATGGCACTGTGGGGAATCACAGATTTAAGCTTGGCACAACTCCCATATACAGCAAGGTCACTGTCAAAGATAATTAATTCCTAGGAAGAAATGTGTATTTTCCTCCCTGAATAAAATAATTTATCTATCTCAGGAGTGCGTAATCTTTTTATTGTTAACTTGTTAATTTTAAATTAATTATTAATTAAAATCAGTGTGAATTGTTTAATTAATTAAACATTATTAAAATTAATAGGGAATGGATGGAGAATTTTGGGAGTTGATCTCCAAATCTTAAAGTTGCTGAGGTTGAGAATCACTGACCTAAATAATATTAAATTTCATGGTGCTATTATCTAAGGCAAGAGATTCTGGTGACATATCCTAGGACATCAGTTTAAGTATATCAAATCTCTTTTGAAACTGTCCAACATTTAAAAATCTGGTATGAGCTTTTGCTGACTTAACTGAGTTGAAGTATAACAAAGTACTGCATTTATTCTTTATGTTAAAAAAAGGAGAAAATGCTTCTGATAAGATTCCTATTTTTTCAAATTTTCATCTTATTATGAATCAGATATGCTGGTTAAACTACTGTATTTTATATTCTTTTTCTTCATACCCTTTTAGACTTTGTTCCTATTGTCCATTCTAAGAAGATATAAATTAAACAATTACATTTCCAACTTGTTCAGCTGATTTGGAGGGGAAAGGGAAAGATTAAATTGAATAATAATTTAATTAGATGCAATGGCACACTTCTCCAGCAAATGTACAAAACAGAAAAGGGCCAGCATAAATGAACTCAGATTATTTCAACAGAAAGTAAAACTTTAATTTCAGGAAAACACGGATGTACTGTGTCACGTGACATAACAAATGCAAAAATTTGCTTAGATATCAATCTTCAAGTAAAGATTGATGAATGAACTAAATTACCACTGCCCAAACTTGAAGACTGCCATGGTTGTGGTTGTTGTTGTTGTTATTAGTGTTATTTGCCTTCAAGTCAGTTTTTGGTGACTACTTGGACAAGTCTGTTTCAGGCTTTTTGCAAGGGTTTTTTTGGAGTGGTTTGCCATTGCCTGTTTCTTGGAGCTGAGAGGGAGGGACACCCAAGATCACCCAGCTGGCTTCATGCTTAAGGGCAGACTAGAGTTCATGGCCTACTGGTTTCTAGTCTGATGCCTTACTCACTAAACCAAATTGGCTCTTTGTTCTCTCCTGTGGTCAATAAACTTAACTCAAAAATAGCACTGCAAGTGTTGTTCTCAATGAAGGATATTGTTTTAAAAAGTACAAGATGACACAATATTTTTTCTGCTAGTTATGTAAATTTTACCTAACTCTTTCTGCATCAGAGAACACATCCAAGACATGCTAAGTAGACTGTTCTCATTTCTCAAGCTATGAATATGAATCTTTATTTGGAGGGGCACAACAAATTCTTTCTCCCTGCACCAGTTAAATATTGACTGTGGTATAAGATATCCGAAGTTTCCATAGTTTTTCCAAAGATTTCTGAATTATGCTCTACCTGAGACAACAATGCAACAAAACAACTGAGCTTGTCAACCAAGGTAATTACATTTTTCATGAAATTCTGAAGTCTTTAGAAACATATTGTCTACTTGTCAAAAAAAACTGAAGGCAGACTTTTGATCATGGCAGTTCAGGCATCCTGGATCCAAACTCTCTGAATTCCAGATCAGAATGTGCATCCCTAAAACAACCAGAGAATACTACATTGGGTTAAAGCTGGGTGAAGGTTTACTTACATTCTCCTTCTCAGCACTGCCATATTTGGCTCGGATTCTGGGTGCTTTGATAGTGGCCAGGTTGGTGCCTGTCACAGTCAACAATGTCCCACCACTAGGAAGCAAACAGAAGAGGTCAATTGAAGCTCCTAATGAAGAGAGTGTAGGCAGCCTAACCCAATGAAACAAAGCATTCCTTTTATCCCAACATTTTGCAGCTCCATGTTCTTTTAATTTCATGCTGGGAAAAACCAATGACTTTGTGCGTTATTTTAGGCAGTGATGGATAAAAACAAATACTCTTTGAGTTCCATTAATCTCCACAACGTACCAAGGATGCCCAATATCAAGCTTTGACTCTTAAGAAGAATTGTTCTTCCTTTTTTCATATTACAGTACAATCGTACAAATGAGTAGGATAGGGCTTACTCCCAAGTAAGATAATATCAGGTCTTAATAGCATTAACTGATGCCAAATTCCAGGCAGGAAATACATTATTCCTTCCAGTGTTCATTTTGGAATTCTGCATGGAACCCAAAAGCTAGATACAGAAGGATATATTTCTCAGGCATTGTTTGAATTCTTTTGATATGGGTCCATTAATTACCAGTATAAACACAACAAATAATATGTTTTTTATTTCAAATCTTATAATTTCACTTTCATATTGATATTTTGTGAGAAAACCTATGTCAAAAACAAAGGTTTATTGTCCCAAATGCTTCACAAAGTACATCTTTATTGTGAAAAAGAGATATATACCATAACAATAATTCATAAATATCTCCCTGAAATATTCCTAAATAACTTATTAAATAAATACAAAACAGATAGAAAACCTAACATTTGTAGAAATTTCTTTTGACTCTTGGTATTAACTTCTACCAAGAATTAGATGTGCAGAATGAAGGGTGACAACAAATATTCAGTATTTTATGTCCAACTGACATATTATAGCTACCATGCCTTCACCTTACAGTATTGATTGAAACAGCTTATGAAAAAAGTTATAATATTTTTCAGTAGTTTTCTCTGTGAAATATAAATTGCATAAAAACTACATCAACAAAAAATGAATAATTTTATTCTGAAATTATTCTCTTCAATTTTACCTTCTGATGCTCCATTCAGGATCTATCTTTTGAATTGTAGGATCCTCAGTATAATAATATGTAACATCAGAACTGCTAAGCACAGCCCGGTTTATATGAATGAGGATGGTTGAACTACCCGGAATCTGACCAGATGGAGTCCTACATTGGATTTCACCAGCATTTCTCCTGTGGGACACAGGGGAAAAGGGAAAAAAATGAAAACAATGTCATTTGCTAAGTTTAAGACAGCAGGCATCTTTTCCATGGTTATACCATGATACCAAACAAACTGAATATTCCATTTGTACCAAGCAGGCAATTTGTTTCACTTAAGGCAATCCATCGTCTACTTTTCATCTTCACTGTCAGTTAATGAAGCCAGAGCCTGCTCACTATAAGCTCCCAATATTTACTGTCAGTCAGCTTTTTGCAAAAATGAATCAATAGCTAAAACTGGTTCATTGAAGTATATAAGTAAGAATACAAATAGCAACATGACTAAATCAAGAGTGAACAGGTCTTTAATGCCATTAATAATTGTGAGTCTACATATGGGTGCTAAGTGGAACTATCATCTTGCACAAGCAGCCTCAAAAGAAAATGCAAATAGAAAATACATCATTGAGTATCTAAAAATGGGACTGCAGTAGCTTGAAGATCTCCTTTCTCCTATTTATTTATCACTTAGATTTATATGGCTGACTACTTAACATGCAATTCAGGGTATAACACCAATTAAAACGAACAGAAATAACCAACATTTTAAAGACAGCATATTAGTCCCTTAACACTTTCAAGATTCAAACATTCATTCAGTTTGTATTGGCCTATCTCAATGGGAAAACAACATATTTTCTTAATTTTCACCAGCAATTTTGTACTAAGAGTTCTTATTATACAATGTTTGCAACCTAATTAAAGGGATAAATATTCAATATTCTTTTTAAAAAAGAGTTAAAAAGGTATTTGAAAATGAAGGATATGGGAAGACTTATATAAACAATATAAATAAATATTCAATTATATTTATATTTATTTATTTACCTTATTTCCTGGAAAATATGAGCTTCCATGTTTTTAAAGAGAAAAATACATGAAGAGCTGTATGTCTTTATGTAAGGTAAAAGATTTTCTGCTATCTTATTTCAAAATATACTGGGGATCAAGATACTTTAGCTGCTGCTTGCAAATCCTGGTGGGCAGGATCTAAAAAGCCTCAGTTCAATTTGAGTGTTTCCTGAGGAACAATCTAAATCTGATACCCTTGTCAAATCAATACTTATTTGTTATGTTTTGTCTCCTAACAAAGTTATCTAAGTACTGGTGTAATTCTCTAAAGGGGATTAGCACCAAAAGACCAACAGATATTCTAAAAATACATTTTCTCAACTATAATTCAACAGCAACTAACCAGGCTGAAATTGGAAAAGGGCATAAACCTGTTTCCAATAACATAAAATATATTGGGAACACAACTTAGAACATGAAACAAAACACAATGGAATTGGGCTTTTAATGAATGATAATCATCTTTAATTCCTTTAACCCAGATTGCGACCACATCAAAATTGAGTCCCTGTTTTGTCCTTAAAAACCCAAATGACTGAAGGGGTGTTGGTTCCCCTAGAACAGAAAGGTCTACGAATCACTGAATTAGTGGCAGATGCCTTATTAGCAAAATACCTAAGGGAAAACTATGAACGAGAATGCTTCCAATTCTGTAACCTGCTCCAACTTATCACCATCTAAACCTCATGACTGTGGTTTATTACTCTTCTCAAAAACCAATATTTTGGATTTAACGTAACTAATATCACAGTACTTTGAGAATTTAATTAATAGGTGTTTAAGGATGAGGTTATGTTGAGCCATGACCAGAAGAGCAATAACAGAATAGCAAGAAAAGTCCTCTTCCTCCAATATTCCTTTCAATCTAATAGCAGTAAGAACTGGATTGATTCTGATCCATCATCTTTTGGCATCGGAAAGGGTAAACTAGAAGAGAGCAGCATAGAAAGAATAGATCCTCTGACCTTTCCCAAATTATCCTTTCTGAAATCCACCCTGTGAAACCATATTAGCTGTAGATGGTGGACTATTTATCGTTTAGATTTCTAAGGCCACCTAATTCAACAGCAACCCTGGACCGTTGTAAGATTGGGGATTCTTCCTCTAATAGCGGAACTGGCAAGCAAGAAAAATTGGTCGGTCCAGAAGTTCACCAGGCAAGGAAACAGCAGCACTGATTCCACAGCTAGCAGGCATGGGACCTAAGCAAGAGAAATGATCCGGAGACTCATCTTTGACAAAAATTCTCACTGGATGCAAACATTTATTACTTCTCCTCTTCAAAGAAGGGTGTACAAGAAAGATAATTTAACATTGCATCTGATACGCCTATGGAAAGATATTTTAAACTTATAAGAAAATTGGGAAATCCAATTAATGTTAAACTGGAAGATGTCCTTGCAGAGCGGAGCACGCTAAAAAATACAGTAAGTACAAAGGAAAATAAACCGAGGGGAAACAGAAAAATTGCAAAAAGGCTAAAATTGCAGTGCTACTGTAAAGATGTGGAAGACTCCTACACAGGCATCATGAGTATCTTTTTCTCAAGAAGCATAGATAGAAATGCCCAGTTGGTGCTTTGTTTGTTATAGAATCTCACTTATACGAAGGACAGAGATTACAACCAAAAAGCTGAACTACTGGTAAATTGTAATATGAATTCAATAGTATCACATGAATTCAGTTTCATTAGTTCAATTTCCTTACAGCTATAAATTTAAATTTACACATGGAAACTGTGTGGAATGGACATCAGGATTTCCTTGAGAAAATTCCAGGCCTGGGTGTCTTTTAAACCGTTTACAATAGGTTTTCTACAAATAAAATATTAATCCCTGCATCTGGTCCTTCCCCACCCACTCCCTCTAATCTCCTTGGGAAGTTCTGCTAAAATTAACAGTTAATGTAAAAAGAAAATAAAACACACACAGTCCTTCAAGCTGGCATAACTCTGGAGCATTCTCCATCATGCAGCGGCTGCAAGCGATTAAGGCTGATAACCAGTAATTACTGTACAAAAATATTTAAAGAGCCGCTCCATTATCATCCCTAATCTAAAAATTATCCACTTCATGGCTCAGGGATTTGTGCTTTTTATAAGGAAAAGGAAATCATTCTTTGACCTTTCTTCTTCTTCTTTTTTTAATGAACCATGAAAAGAAATTCCACAAGCTACACCGAAATTTTTTGCTTGGCTCCTTAGGAACGTTATCTTATTACACATTGTACACATGTTGATACCCAGTGCATATATGTAATTGATTAGTTCTATGCATTCAAGCCATTCTTCTCTCTACGTAGTGCCTGATGACCATTTATATATCCCAGACCAACAAAGCTCACCCTGCAAAAGCACATGGTTGTCCTCCAATGGTTACTGTGATGTTACTTCCTGCATTGAGATGTCTTCCTCTGATGCTAATCCAGGTACCCCCAGAAAGAGGCCCACGATCTGGGATGACTTGTGAGAAGGTAGGAACCTGTCAAAGGGAAACAGTCCATTCACAGCATTCAGAAGACAGCCTTAATGCACAACCATAACAAGAGGAACTATGGAAAGACTTATAAGCAAAAAAGTAAAAATGGAAAATTCTCCACAACTCAAGGCACTAGGGGTATCACATTGCTATGATGCACATTTAAACTCAGAACATAAAATAAAGTATGAGGGTATCAGTGATAATTCAGTGCTAAGTCACATACAATTATTTTTCTATCTTTTTCTTATCGTTTGCACCTGTACACTTTCTCAATCAACTAGTTTCTTTGACGTTCATAATAAGATAAAATACATAATTATAAAACAAAAAAAAATAAAGCAGGAGACTAAAGGAATGATAAGATTATAATTAAAAATTAAAAACAGATTAAACTGGCTAAAGCTTAGCATTTTAAACAAGCAAGAAATTAAAATATTGGGTAAATATATCATAATTTTATACATTTGCACATGTATTACAGTGCCTGACAGATAGACAAATTGATGCTTTTTAAATGTTTTAGCTGTAACTGCTTCTGAGAAGTAACTCTTATCTGTACTCCTCTACTAGCCAGAGAACACCTGTTTAACAATAAATGTTGTACAGGAAAATTTTAGTAACTGACAAACAATTCTAACCAACCAAAGTCTCATTAGTTGCTTCACAGTTCTGAGTAATTTTAGAAACATTGCTATCAGATGCCAAGCTTTAAATCAGTGAAAAGAAACAGCCCATCCTTGAGATACCGCTGTTTAAATCTTGATCTTGTCCAATCTAAATTAGTTAATGACTGCTCCAGTCATATTTATGAGATCGGAAGCCTTCTTAGTTAAAAATCACACAAGAATCCCAGTTTGAGCAAAAATGTCTTGAATCAGAATATCAGAATCAGACTAGAGCTGGAAGGGACCTCTAAGGTCTTCTAGTCCAACTCCCTGCTCAAGCAGAAGATCCTATACCATTTCAGACAAATGACTGTCCAGTATCTTCTTAAAAACCTCCAGTGATGAAGCACCCACAACTTCTGATGGAAACTGTTCCGGTGGTTAATTGTTCTCACTGTTAGGAAGTTTCTCCTTAATTCCAGGTTGCTTCTCTCCTTGATTAATTTTCATTGTTTCTTGTCCTGCCCCCTGGTTCTTTGAAAAATAAGTTTGACCCCCTCCTCTTTGTGGCAACCTCTCAAATAGTGGAATACTGCTTAGTCCTTCTTTTCTCTAGACTAGCCAAACCCAAATCCTGCAACCGTTCTTCATATATTTTTGTCTCCAGGTCTTTAATCATCTTAGTTGCTTTCTTTGCATCTTTTTCCAAAGTCTCAACATCTTTTTTCTAATGAACAAAATTCATCTGGTAGTGATGTTATCTATCCCACATTTTTCTAGTTTGGCAAGAAGTAGGTTGTGGTCTACTTTGTCGAATGCCTTACTGAAGTTTAAGTATACTATGTCCACAGCATTACGCTGGTCTACGGTACTAACTTAGTCACTTTCTCTCAGAGAATGAAATAAGATTGGTTTGGCATGATCTATTTTTAACAAACCCATGTTGGCTTTTAGTTATAACTTTGTTTCTAGATGTTCGCACATCTGTTTTTTTATGATCTTTTCCACTATCTTCCCAGGTATTGATGTTAGGCTGATTGGTCTGTAGTTTCCTGGGTCTGTTTTTTTTTTCTTTTTTGAAGATGGGAACCACATCAGCTTTTTTTCAATCCTTAGATAATTCCCTGGTATTCCAGAATTTTTGAAAGATATAGTACAAGTATAGTATAGTTCCTTCAGAACTCTGGGATGTAATCCATCAGGTCATTGGTGATTTATATTCGTCAAGATCAGATAGGTGTTCTCTAAATGTTTTCTTGCTTATTTTTATTTCTAGTCTGTCTTTTACAATTAGGTTTTTGGTATGTTGGGCTACAGTTTCTCTTTGTATGAAGACTGATGCAAAGAATGAGTTAGCAGTTCTGCTTTCTCTCTGCTACCTATTACTTCCTTGCCATCTTCTCTCTTAAGTGGACCTACTGTTTCCTTGCCTTTTTTCCTGTTATTTATATGTTGAAAGAAACTTTTTTAAAATTATCTTTGATTTTTGTTGCAAGTCTTTGTTCATTCTGAACTTTTGCTTTCCTGATTTCATCTTTGCAGATTCAGGCTGTCTGCTGATACTCTCTGCCTTAGTTATGTGTCCCTCTTTCCATTTTTTGTACTTGTCCTCTTTGCCTTTCAGTTTATCAGAGAGATCTTGGTGCAGCCATGCTGATTTCTTCTAGGATTTCTTGTTTTTCTTTTTCAGTAGTATTTTGGTGGACTGGATTTTTATGATGTATTTTTCAGAGTTTCCCACGCTTCTTTTGTTGTTTTCCACTTTAGGATTTTCACCCATGGAATTTTTCTTAGGCTCTTTCTGAGTTTGTTAAAATCAGCTCTTTTGAAATTTAAGACACTGGCTGGATTATGTTCTATTTGCTTGTGTTTGCATTATATTGACTTTCAATATGATGTGGCCCAAACGTCCGGCAACTTCAATTCCCTCTATCACTTCTTCTCTATTAGTAAGAATTGGGTTCAGTATAGCTTTTCATCTAGTTCCCTCCTCTACCTTTTGGATGACAAAGTTGTCAGCTGGGTTGATTAGGAATCTGTTTGATCTCCCACTTGCTGCAGAGTTTGTCTGCCAGTTGATATCAGGGTAGTAGTTAAAGTCTCCCATTACTACTGTGGTATATTTCCTACATATATTTGTTAACTGTTTAGCCAAATGTTCATTTATTTCTTCTGCTTGGTTGGGTGGACTGTAGTATACGCCTATAGCAATGTCATTCTTTTTTTCTTTTATATTGACCCATATGGATTCTAGGAGGTTTTCATCTTTCGTTTTGTGGATTTCTATAGAGATGTAGTGATCTTTTATATATAATGCTACTCAAACTCCTCTTTTGTTAGGTCTGTTTCTTTTGAATAGTTTGTATCCTTCCATCAGTACATTCCAGTCATGAGTTTCATCTTACCATGTTTCAGTAATGGCAACTATATCATATTTACCTTCATGTACTAGTACTTCAAGTTCATCCTGTTTGTTCCCTAAACTTTGAGCATTCTGTATAGGTATTTGAGTCCTTTATGGGTCTTGGGTATGTTTCTTATATTTCCTACTTTGTATCTGGTTTTCCATCCTTTCCATAACCCAATACTTCATTGTGTTTTTCATTTTCTTCTTCTTCTAAGAATCTTCTAAGGCTGAACAGATTGACTGGTAATTTATTTCTTGGCATCCCTTTTGTGCATATTTTACAAAGGTTAGGATATAATTTCAATTAAATTAATATGCTGTCTACCTACAAATAATAAACATGAAAATAGCATAAGAGCTTGTGATAGAAAAACAACTAAATAAGGCAGAGATCCCCAACCCCCGGATCCCCAACTATCGGGCCGTGGCCTATTTGGAAGTGGGCCATGCAAGTGGCTGGGCAGCATGCATGCAGCTCAACCTGCGCTAGGGCGGGCTGAGAGGCACTCGCACATTCTGGCCTGACGCTTGCACAAGTTGAGCTGCATGCATGCGTGTTGTCCCGCTGCTCGCACAAGTCCCCCACTCGTACAAGTCAGGCTGCATGTGTGCACATGCCGGCCCACCGCTTGCGCAACCCAGTTCCTCTCTCTTCCCCCCAAGCTGGGCCGCCAAGCTGCAAAGGTTGGGGACCATTAAATTAAGGTAAATCCGTAGGGCAAAAGTGGGATTTAGGGGGAGATGAAATGGCAAAGGCAAATGTCTAATATTTAACCTTACCACAAAAGTGAAGCTTTTTGGAGCTATAGCCTTATAGCTGGGGGAACAATCTCTGACACACACTTCTACAGGAGCATCTTGAATTTTGCTGGGGCTGGCTTCTCCAATCTCACAGACGATCCTACAGAGGGCACACCAATTGAATGTCTTACAAACAGATGAAATGTTAGTGCTCTTGTTACATATATGAAGTGTACCAGCCCTGCATATCCCTAAGCCAAATATTTCTGATGTTCCTGATTCTTTCTTTCAATCTTGTCATTATATTTTGATGGGCTGTTGTTGTTTTAATTAAATGTCATTTAACAATTTCAGCAAATTATGTCTTAGCATACATCAAATTGGTGTTTGAACAATAGGCAGATTAAAATTGCAGAATACATAAAATATTACAAGGAGAGTATAATTTAACTCAGTAGGGAATCAATTAAAATTTAACACAACTAAAAAGAAAAAAAAAACATTTATTTTCATTCTTCCCCCATCCTCTCACAGTATGTATTAATGTAATGTAATATAATGCACATACATAAGTTAAACAGTGGAAAATATTCCTGTACATTTCTGGCTTTGTATTTTGATTTACTATCTACAAGTGAAAGAAAAGACACCCACTAAATGATCCTACATTGATTTTTCTTATTACATCCTATTAATGTTTAAACTGGCTCTGTATTTTTCTATATACCGTATTTATTCGAGTATAACGCGCAAAATTTTCTACCAAAAAAAGAAATCAAAGTTTGGGTGCGCGTTATAAACGAGGGCTGGGGTGGGGTGACGCAGTGGCGGCTGGTCCATTGAGGGCGCAGGCGAATTGTGAGTTCGCACTGTGCCTTTTCCGGGCTTCAGCCGCTCACGCGAGGGCGAAGAAAAAAAAACACGTCCCCTCGTCGCGTACAGGGGGCGGCCCGAACTGGCGAGATGCACTTCCCTTTCCCGTTAGATGGCAACTCAGGGTATCAAGAGAAAACGTTCTGCATATGACGCGAATTGTGAGTTCGCACTGTGCCTTTTCCGGGCTTCAGCCGCTCACGCAAGGGCGAAGAAAAAAAAAACGTCCCCTCGTCGCGTACAGGGGGCGGCCCGAACTGGCGAGATGCACTTCTGTTACCGGTAATTTTATTTCGGTATTGTGTTCATAGTTTACGTTGTCAATAAATGATTTTTATCATGGCCGCACGTGTTCAACAACGTTTGTCACTTACAATGCTTGGTCTGAGCCGAGAAAAAGTGAAACAAAATTTTATACCGATTTTTAATCGAAAATTAGGGGTGCGCGTTATACACGTGTGCGCGTTATACTCAAATAAATACGGTAATTTTAAGCTAGGTAAATTTGAAGAGCGTAGTACACAGAATATCTGTGGCTAGCCAGAACTGACCAGCTTTAGAAAACATGTGGCTCTGTAAACATGTACTTAAAAGTGGACTTTTAAATTAATACAAACTATGTAGTGAAAAATCATTCTCCCCCTCCCCAAAGAATACATTTTATTTTCAAAATCAAAACTCTGTTAATGACTTGCAGAATCATTTTATTTTACCATCAAATATTTTCCATAAATGATTTGTGAAACCAGAAAAATCTTTCTGACAGAATATCACAAACGATTTGGCATTCCCCTTATTATTTGGCCACTGTCTTGTGGAACCAAACTCAGAGGAGATCTGGCATTATTATTTTTAAGCTATCCTGCCATTCATTTTTTCCTTCTAAATTGCTCAGAGAAATACTTATACACTTGCCATCTCGTTTAATAATCACAGGAATCCCTATGAGGAAGATTAGGGTGAAAGATAATTGCTTCTAGCATGAACCGGTGACCTTCATGGATAAGCAGGAATTCGAATCTTTATCCGAGTTCAGCTGTCTTATCAACTTTGCCACATTGGCTCTTTCCAAAATAAGAAACAGTCACTTTAAAATGAGTTAAATCAAGAAGTGCTGATGGTGACTAATGCTCTAAAAGAAAAATCACAGCCATCTTTCCTTATTGGCAGCTTACAAATCTTGACTCTCCTGCTTCTTACAGTTATATAGGACCTCACAAATGAATCCATTTTTTAATATTCTAGACAGTCATCTGTAATTTGAAGAATACTCACTGCTCAGCACTGATATATTCACTTTCAATGGGCATGCATATCACTTTGCCAACCCGAACACCCATGCGCACATCTTCAAACTTCAGGCCCAAATTCTCACCAATGATGGTCAACCGAGTCCCACCTTGCCGGGGGCCTGTTTCAGGAAACAACTAAGAAGAAACAAAGCAGATTGTTATGAAAATCCATCAGATCCACTGCGATGAACAGAAACATCTGCCATAGCATTATTACACAATCCACATACTAGTAAGTATGATACCATAAATTTCTAAAGTTTGAGGCAGGTTGCCACTTATAATAAGCTTATCAGTAGAAAAACTAAAATTGAAGTGATAATCATTTAAAATTATGACAGCTCTTCTGTAGTTCAAAACTAGTTTCTATCATCTAAGCAGCAATATTAATTCTCTCTTCCTCCTGAATTCCTCTATTACATTGTCCATTTCCTTACTACAATATAGCCCTCTGAACCTATCAGAATATGAAAATGGAAACAATAAACATATTCTACTAGGAAATGGCTTGCTTATACTATTAACATTGGAGCTCAGGATGCATTCTGCTTGTTCAACCCTAGATATTCTCAGAAAGCCTACTATTTCTTTCTCATGCTACGAATTATTAGAAGAAAATTCATCATTTCAGAGCCTTCCTCACAAAGTAGACACCAATTAACTCATGTAAAATGGGTCTTCTCTTTCTGTAGTAATTCTGGAATATCCCAGCATACAATAGTTTCTGCCAGCACCAGCTGGGGAAGGAAGGAAGCCCCAGCAGAGCATGATATGGCTCATTTGTTAGGATGATTCCCAATAAAACGGACAGGTGTGGCTTGTCATATGCCAGCGTGATGACAGATGAGCAGTGCGTTACAGGCCCACCATTGCCACTAACAAGGTAATTATGGGCAATTTTACACCACATTTTGCTGGGCCCCAGTGCCTGGCATACACCTGCAAGTGATAAAAAGGATTAATGGGCACCCAGCTGGGAAACCTCTTCTGGGTCACCGCAACCCCAAACCAAGGAAAGGGACTCCAGGGCTGAAACAGCATAAAAGGACCTAGCAAATCAAGAAGCAACCAATTAGCTGATCAGTCAAGCTGGCCTCCAGTGTCTGTACTGATCCTAGACATAGGCTATACATCCTTTCTAAACTAAGTACTGAAGCTTAGGAGTAGCAAACAGCTTTGGAATGCATGTTATTACTTAATTTGCCACGCTAGAAACTCCTAAATGCTCAGGAAGTGTTTCATGTTTAAAAATAGGCAGAAGACATAAAAGTATAGTCAAGACAAAGCCTCCCAATACTGCCCACGGAACAGCTTTATACTTCCTCTACAAAATGTACAGGGATTGGCAAGTCTCCAAGAAAAGGAATTTCTATGTTTATGAGTCAGTTACACTGCAAGTTACTTCACTACATGCACAGATCATTGGTGTTTTTTTTTTAAAAAAGCATTTATTCAATTGATCTTAATGGAGATGAGTCATAAGCAAGGAAGTTTCCCAAAGCCTGGCAAGCCCAAATTGTTTGGTTCTAGGTTTACATCTAGCACTGTAGCTAGAAAGTGATTTAAAGAGTCACTGAAATACGTATGACAACCTGGAAGCTTCAACTGGCCAAGAATGTAACAAGATGGGCAATGATGCCCATCCCACTTCATGGCATGCCAGTTTGCTTCCAGATGTGATTCAAAGTGCCGGTTATAATCTATAAATACACACACACACAGAGAGAGTTTTACAATTACTTTTAACCTTGTAAGCTGCCCAGAGTCACTTGCAGTGAGATGGGTGGCAAAGAAAACCAACCAACCAACCAATCGATCAATCAATCAAATGCTTTCCATTGGGGATTCCTGTTTTTAATACTGTGAGACACCAGAGTTGTTGAAGTCAGATGAAGTCAAACTGAAATGAGGGAAGGGAAGAGATTTTGTACACTTCCAGGAGAGGATGCAAATATAGATAACACCATCCTTCTAGATTATTGACTGTCAGATATTAAATGCATTAACTCAATAAGGGGAGAGGGAGGAGAAAGGAGCTGAGAAGATCCAAGGGTGGTTAGACATCCTGCCATTGTCCATACCTTTAAATGCAGCATATCCAACTCTCACCCCCCAACTCTGAGTTTTTCTATTACTTGCTTGACATAAAGTCAATTGATGACTTTGTGTCAAGCATGCCATTATGAGAATTAAGCAAATGAAAATGCAGGGAAGTTGGCAGGCAGCCAACAGACAATATGAAGCAGTTTTTAAGAAAAGATTGGACAACCATTTGTCTGAAATGGTATGGACTAGATGACCTCCAAAGTCCCTTCCAACTCTGTTATTCTGTTAAGAGGGGAAAGATGAGACACCAGCCATGTCCTACCTCCCTGTAAGACCTCCTTCCAAACTTTGACTTGGCTGAAACTCAGAATCAACAAAATCTGCAGGTTTTGAATTTCTCAAACCACTCCCCACCTGGAAAAGCACAACTTCTGAGATTCAATGTATGAATTCATTTTCCAATTCATCCATATCTCCAATGACTCTCCCTATTGACAGATGGAGAAAAGGTTCTGCTGGATAATGACCAAATGACAAGGTACAGATCAGTTGTTGCTTGCCCAAAGCCAACATGGATCATGTATTCAAGACCACAAAGCCCATATTTGTTCTCTGATTTCTAGGTTACTCCATTGGATAACTATGAAAAGGCCTGGAGAAGTCAACTGCCCTGATATAGAATTTATGCAAGACAAGACAATTTGAAAACTGGAGTCTGTCATTCACCTACATGTAATCTAATCATCCATTGCTATCCTGGATCAGAACGCAATGAAAACAGCTGTTACAACAGGCAACTTGAGTTATTGTTCCCTAAACTGGGCTCCTCTGGGTACCTGGTGAGTTGGGCTGTTGTTTGGTGTTAAATTAATGCAAAAGGTTTCCCATAGTGTGTTAGATTTCCCCTCTACTGCAGCAAAACTGACAAGGGCCACATGTTTGGGAAGAAGCAACACTGGGAAAAAAATTGACACTGCTTGACACACTGTGTGTGGAGGGTCATCGTTAAACAAGACACTTGGGAGCCAGAGCTGGCAGGAAAATCCAGCTATTTTGTTCTCTCCTTATACACAGACTCCCACCCCAGCTCTCTCTGACAAACAGCAGCCCTCTTCATCTAATTGGTTTCGGAACACAACCCTTCATATCTGCCAAATGAAGTGAATGTAAGAAATACCAGTTCCCAAAATATGAAGTAACAAATTATCTACTAAGTGTCTTGTTTATTTGACCGTTTAATTTCAGAATAGCTGATCTGTCCATGCAGTTGAGAATTTGACTACAGAGCATAAGGCTGGAAGCAGAGAAGTGAGCCAAAGTTTGAAACAACAGAACCATATAGGCCCATCTTCAGTAATGCAATCGGGCAATCAGCAAAGTGTATGTTAGTTGGGATCACAAAGAGACTTTCATAAAGAAGTAAAACAATGCTGACAACAAAATACAGCATTTTCATCTGATAGGTTCCCTTCTCCATATCCAAAATATAATTCAAAGACAAAGGCAACTTTGGGGTCAGGTTTTGGACTGTACTATCATGCCAAAGGGATAAAAGGCAATACTAAATGAATTGATAATGCCCTGACATGGAGAGTGTTTTAATGTTAACTCAAAATCGTTCAATTTCCTGTGAGTAAAGTGGGAATATTAAGATCACATTCAATCACTTGGCTTGATTTTATTACAATTACAGTACAGATAACAATTTTGAAGTCTTTCTTAGTACAATTTTGGTGCTAAAGGGAAGGGATAACCATAACAATCTTGTCACATCAATCAAGAGCAATTTAATTTAATTAACAGACCACATAAATGCTTTTTTATTCTGGCAGCCAGAACAATATTTTTTCACTGATTCTCCCAATTCAGCTCTCTTGGATTACTTCTACAATGCTTGAACTAGAAAAGTTACAGCTGAAGCAGATAAACATCTTTTCTTCCTATCAAAGATCTTCAACAAATCTCCTTCATTGTTTTCTATGGCAATGTTTCAAGGTAGAGGAAGGCATTATCTGAGCAGTGCATCGAAAGATAAGAGCTGAATTTATTTTTCAGCATTAAAATACTTCTTGTCTGAAAGCTAAAATCTCAGACACCAGCTTTCTATTTTAAATGGATGTACTTTATCCCTATTTCCCTTCAATCTAGCAGAAATCACAAGCTGGGATCATAACGATAAACTTTAACATTTAATTTTGCTTGAGTTTTGGCTAATTACTGTAGTTGCACAATCTCTAAATACACAATTTATAGCTTAATAAACAAACTGGTTTTTATGTTTGTGCGTTTTTAAAGTATCTCAGCTTGCTGTGTAAACTCATCCCTGTCTCTCCCAAGAGAAACAGACCAAGTAACTTTACTACTTATATTTTCCAGGATTAAAAAAACAAACTCCACAGCATATTTTATACCCCTGATTCCACTGCACTCTGGATGATCCTAGCAAATAAACCATCATTGCATTTTCCTGAAGCCAGCACAGCAATACCTGTGAAAAAGCAGTAACAATGTAACACCCAACCACCCCAAAAGTACACAGCAATGTAATATCTGATCTGCTTACACAGGATCTACAACTGCAGTAACAAGTTCTTAATTTAGTTTTCATGATTTAGTAATGTAGTTGTATTAGAATGAAATGCTGACAATTACTTAAAAACTGCAGATAAGCCATCCATATGTTGCCATGCCCACTTGGTAGCTCTGAGACTTTATTGGGGTCTTACATTATTAAACTTCTTTTCCTTTGACAACTGATACTTCACAACATGGTTCATAAAAGCCTTATAATTCATTACTAGGACCATGTGTAGATATCATGATCCCAGATTTAGGATTCTAACATTCATATTTAAAAGGATGAAGCTTTTAAAAACCAAAATATTATTGCTTGGGGATATGATGAACTAAGAAGCCTATTTTCTGCAGTTTAAGTTCGGGAGCTCTATTTAAAGCCTTTAAAGGTATGACTTAATTTCTGCTGTCACAATTTTGTTGAGATGTGTTTATAAATATGTCTAATGTTAAGATGTGTTATTCAGGATCATAAGATGTTTTCTTAACAAAAATCAAGGGAACAAATAAAAATTTCCCTCCTTTTCAATCAAAATTTGGAAACCAAGATTTGGAACTAGAACATGTGAGAGAAGGTTTAGTTTGGTATAAAATTAAAATATTTGCAAAAGGTTTCTATTTTTTAAAATGATATAAGTGTTGGGGAAATTTGGTTGCCACAGCAAATGGTGGATGGAATAGCTGTGACCTTCAGGGAAGCAAATTAAGACTGATCACCAAAAGAAAAACTATAACTGGGAAAAGAGTTGTGAAAAATGGAATAAGATCACAAACATGTGTTTGTTGATATATCTGCCAGGGAAGATTCTCCAAAAGGACTAGACCAGGACAGAATTTTAAAATAATTGCATTAATAGCTACTAATTAAAATCAATTGCCCTTTAAATAGGATAATGCTCTTACAAATTAAATAATCTACCACCCAGACCAGAATTTCATAAACTTTTTGCTCCCATCACCCCTTCCCATTTTTAAAAATTATGGAGGCCCTCAAAAGAGTTTTGGTTTGTATGGGTTATATTTATTGATATTTATGTATTAAAAATTAAAATTGATGCATTCATAGAATTATATATGGAATCAAGTAAAAATAACACTATTGAACCCATTAGAAGCTAGCATACATATTTTTATAACACATCAAAAATAATACTGAGAAGAGTGACAAGATTTTAACTGATTGCAAACATCTTCAATATCTGGCAAATCATTTTGATTTTGCAGAATCCTGGGAAGGGTTTTGGAGGCCCCAGGAGTCCTCAGACAACATTTTAAGAAATACTGATCTGGACCAATTTTCTCTCATTCTTATAATGGAAACATACATATTCTTCCAGCAGAAACAGTCAAAAGAGGGGTGGGGGAACCACATAGGTGGGATGGGCTGTGAAAAACAGATCCCTTCCACTAGGGCAGTAAAAGAAACAGGAGAGCAAAACTGGATGATGAAATGAAGGGAAAAGATTGTTGGACATGAAAGGAGAGGGAGGGAGGGATCTCAACAATTACAAAACGTGTTAAAATCAGAAGGGAAACTGTACCAAACAAGCTACAGCTCATTTTCAGACTAATATTCAATGACATGGAGGCTAAAGCATATAAGGAACGGTTGCTGGAATTGGGTATGTCTAGTTTAACGAAGAGAACGACGAATGGGGACATGATAGCAGTGTTCCAATATCTCAGGGGCTGCCACAAAGAAGAGGGAGTCAAGCTATTTTCCAAAGTGCCTGAAGGCAGGACAAGGAGCAACGGGTGGAAACTAAGCAAGGAGAGAAGCAACCTAGAACTAAGGAGAAACTTCCTGACAGTTAGAACAATTAACCAGTGGAACAACCTGCCTCCAGAAGCAGTGAATGCTCCAACACTGGAAGTTTTTAAGAAGAGACTGGACAGCCGTTTGTCTGAAATGGTATAGGGTTTCCTGCCTGAGCAGGGGGTTGGACTAGATGACCTCCAAGGTCCCTTCCAACTTTACTACTACTACTACTACTACTACTACTACTATTACTATTATTATTATTATTATTATTATTATTATTATTATTATTATTATTGCATTTCGTTTTGCAGCAGAGATATTTGCAGTTTCCTGAAACTCTTCCTTTCCTTTGTTTTCAACACCACCTTTCTATTCTTAGATGCAAAGATAAGAGAGCTGGATGGAGATGCGAACTTCATTACTAAACACAGGAGAAACTACAAAGGAGAAACTATGCAGAAACCATGTAAAAGCATAGAATGTTGATCTATTATAGCAACTGATTTCTATCACTAAATTTTAGCAGGCAGATGAAGATTCAAACTGTGAGCTTAATATATACAAGAGGTGCTCTAGAAACAAATGCCTTCTAATGCAGTGAATATGTGCCAGATTCAGTTCCATCCCCTGCCTATTAGAGGGAATTGCCCTCAGAGTAATTCATTAGATCTGACCAATTGGCCTCAGAGCAATTCTTCAGATTTGAACAATGAACTCTTGCAAGCCATCAATATCGACTGATATTAAACATCTCCATTCTACAGTGAGAGCAGAACAAAAGTCACAGGGAGAAGCTAAACAGAAAAGGAGAAAAATTAAATCTAGAAATGGCATGTAGGATATGTATCTAACTCTAACCACTGAATCACATCCTCCCAATTCTCAACTGCAAGCATCTCTATGGTGACAGCACTAGCATAATCAAATAAGCATTAGTATTCCATGAAAACTCATGGAGGAGAAAGAGGGATTTTATCACATTTATTAAAAAGAGCCTCTAAAAAGTAAAATGGCACGATAAAATATTTGAAACAGCTGAAGAACTAGTAGTCTAAACTGACAGCCATACTCTGTGCCACAGGAATGTTATACACACCAGCATTCCCCAGAATGGTATCCGCCAGATGTGTTACATGTCAAATCCTATAATTCTTAGCCTCCTCCGATGCTGTTTCATGATTTGCCAGGAAAATTCCCCTGATACCACAACTAGGTAAGCTAAGGGATTATGAACATCAAATCAGTAGTGTACAAAGCTGATTAATACCAACAGCTGCAAGATATGCCTATCAGTCCTTAAAATATTATAGGACTAAGTATTTCCAGGCATCCTCTGACACAGTCAAATTTCTGTATACCATTGAGAAAGAGAATGGAGAAGAAAGGCCCTCTTCTTTGCCAATCCAATACCCATCCCAAACATACCTTAAGGATTTTGGGATCTGCACAACGGCTATTGCCATTGCTTGCATGCATCCAGCTGCTTTCCGATACTGGGCAGTGTTGACGGAGGGAACATCGTTTTTCTGACACACACCAGCCGCACTCAAAGCGTGGATCTGCCTTCAGGCACAGCCCACAGCTTTCTCGCAGAGCTGAGCACTTGTACAAGTGAGCTGCAAAGGAAAGCATACACTCAAAGATAAATTGGTGCTAGGTAGAATTTGCTAAATAGGCTACGAGTAATTTTAGATTGTTTTAATTTCTAGTCCAACCCTCTGCTCAATGCAGGAGTGATCATACCATCTTGGACAAATTGGTTGTCCAATATTTTCTTGAAAACCTCCGATGATCGATCGAGCACCCACAATTCTGGAAGGCAACCCTTCCACTGCTTAATAGTATGCACTGTCAGGAAATTTCTTCTTATTTCCAGGTTGCATCTCTCTCTGATGAGCTTCCAGCCATTGATTCTTATCTTGCCCTCAGGTATTGTGGTGAATAAATCAACACTCTCTTCCCAGTGGCAGCCCTTCAAGTACTGGAAGATTGCTATCCTGTCTCCCCTCATACTCTTCTTCATTAAATGAAACATACCTAGTGCTTTTAGCCATTCGTCATAGGATTCATATTTGTTGCTCTTCTGTGTACTCTCGCTAGGGCCTCAGCATCTTCTTTTATACTGTTGTGACCAAAACTGGACACAGTATTCCAAATGTGACCTCATCAGTGTGATATAGAGTGATACTATTACTTCCCTTGATCTTGAAACTATCCCTCTGTCAAAGCAATTGAGGACCATGTTGACTTTTTTGGCAGCTGCAGCACACTACTGAGTCATACTTAAGTGGTGATCCACCAGGGCATCTAGACCCATCTCATAGGTACTATTGTTGAGTCAGCTAATGCCTATCTTGTACCAGTGCATATGGCTTTTCCTGCCTAAGTGCAAGACTCACCACTGAACTGCATCTTGTTGAATGGAGCCCAATGCTCAAGTCTGTTAAGATCCTTCTGAACTTGAGACTATCGTCCAAACTCATCTTTGCCATCTGCAAATTTTTGATGAGAGCCCCTTCAATCCCCCAACCTAGGACATTAATGAATGACCTAGGTGCATTAGTAAAACAACTTGATCATGGTTTCCTGCTATATAGGATGTACATCTAGTTAACTGAATAACTTATAGCAGGGGTGTCAAACTTGCAACATCACATCACATGTCACAACATATCACGACTTTTCCCCCATTGCCAGCAATGGGGTGGGCACGGTTTTGGCATGACGCATCCGGACCGCAGGCCGGCAGTTTGACACCCCTGACTTATAGCATTTCCAGAGACACATTAGATACAGAGAGAAATAACACAGATAATAAGTTATAAAACTAGATCTTTCCAGACTGCCTCCTTTAACTTTGCTATGTGTAAGGAACAATGTTTGCTCATACGGACAAAATGTTTTGAATTTTCACTTGTGGCAGTTTGTTAATTCAAATATGGTCCCCAGCTGGCTGGTGCAAAGATTAAGTGTGGAGACAGTTTACTATGGAGAAATTTTGTTATAACTGAAGGTGTTTCTACATTCCCTATGTCAGCTTACCTTGGATGTTTTGGGGATTGTCAATTATGAAGTTTCCATTCCACACAACAGAAAGATTCACTGGGAGGTCACTGATGTCATTCCCTTCATAGAAATACTGCCAAAGAAGACACAACAGGGCACAGAGTCAACCTTAGACAAAAATAGCAGATACAAACCAAGAAGCAAATGAAAGGCCAGTGGAGGACATCACATTATTCTCACTAATTTCAAGTGCACCTACCTGGATCTTCCTCTGACAATTATGACCATGTCAAAGCAAGGCAGATTGGTCAGACATGAAGTCCCCCTAATAACCAGGGAACAATAACAAGAACAACACAATTTTCTTTATTTTTGTTCCCTGCTACTTCTTTAGAATTCTGCCAGACAGAATGCACTTTGGGGAAAAGTCCAAACTGGGTACCAATCCAAAGCATTTATATTCATATTACTTTCCACTTTAATTTTTCCTTTGCCTACTTAGGCAACGTTAAAACAGTTTGATTCTGGATTTGCAGTATTCTTTACCACTAGAGAATGATTGGTAGGAATTGAGCAAATCTACTGGATGCCAAATCACAAGCATAATTTATTTGCGCTGTTGAGACTAATGGTCCTTGGCACAAAATTGCATCACCTAATAAACTGGGTTGGTTTTTAAAATACAATCCGAGAGTACACAAAGCCTGAAATGAAGTGATCTTCAGACCTATTCAAGTAATATACAAGCTATAAATTGGTGTCGTCACTGTATAAATTAATAAAAAGTACAAATTGAAGTTATTTTATTCTAATCATCATTCAGCGTTCCTCAAAATAAGACAACGGAGCAAGGAGCCTTTGTCTGAATAAATATTTAAACTGAGGAAGTATAGAGTCTAAAGCCTCCCAGCAACTGGAGACATTACTTTTGTCTCTGTTGAGCTGGCAAATACTGTTCAGCTTCTTCTAAAGCAGGAAAGAAAATGAAAATGCAACAGACTTAAGGAAGACTATCTCTCTAAGAAGGATGATTACAGAGGCACACAAATTGGGAATTGTATTTCCATCCTACATCACCATGAGCCTTCATCCCATCTATCTCCGTGAAAAATAAACCTAACCCAATCTCTTGCTTCAGACAAACTTCTTGCAGCCTCATCAATATTCCCTTCACAGTGCCTGCGTGCATGTGGAGGCTTAATCGATATGAAGACAGGAAGGCAGTCGGAACCTTCCCTGACAGCTAATGACCTCCTTTGGCGAAAGATTCTCTGCTTTTCTCCCGAGAAAATGACAGGCGTGTCAGGAGAGATTAAATGAAAGATTCATAGCTTGCTGGAGTTTGTTAGGGAACTATGGATACTACAGGTGCAGCTTTCCCCCTGCTCTGGAAACACCCCCTCCCTGCTCAGGCACAGCGCTATATTAGCCACCAAGGCCTAAGACAGCCAAAAAGATGAAGAAGGCATCAAGTATCTTCCCCAACCCCTATCCTTCCAAGTCTCGCTTTTCTTTCCCTTCTCCTCTTCAACTTCCCTGGAAATCCAATTTGTCTTAATTTGTATTTTTTTTTTTGAAAAAAAAATAGCTATAAAGCATACAGAATACAAGTGAACTGTCATGCATATAGAATGAGAAACAAAACACACAACAGAAACACTGATTTCCTGAGAGCTGTGTGAAACAATGTGACCAATCTTCTTTTTTTTTGCATAGAGAGCCTGAAACAACACAAAATCACAATATGAGGTACATACTATAGAAATATAGGTCACAAGCCTTATCCATACAATAAGGCAGACATGTCAAACACAAGGCCCGGGGGCTGGATGCGGCCCGCAAAGTGGTTTCATGTGGCCCGTGAAGCCATCCTGGAAACAGTGAGGGAACGGCCCCCACTGCCTTGGCCCTGGCCCAGGCAGCTGGGAGCCAATGTACAATTTTGTGATGGCCATCTATACTGAAATGCATTCAGTCTTAGCTCCACAAGGCCGTCTAGAAACAGCGAGGAACCAGCTCCTGCTGTGTCGCCCCCGCCCCCTGGGTGCATGCTGGAGAGGTGTCACCCTTTGTGAGGAATGAAGAAATGCACCATGCCTTGGCGCTTGCCCCGGTCCCACCCCCCTTTTGCCAGAGACCCTCAAGTCTGTCCCACTCCTGCCCAGGCCCCCACAGGCACCCTTGCAGCGAATGATGTAGAGCTGGCCATGCCCACCCAGTAGGGCACACCCACTCCAGCCATGCCCACCCAGTAGGCTGCACCCACCCGGCCCCCCGAGGGCAACCACAATGCTGATGCGGCCTTCAATGAAATTGAGTTTGACACCCCTGCAATAAGGGTTAGTCACATAGCACTCATAGGCATAGAGCACACACTTACACACTAGAATGATGTTCATGTTTTCCCATATTAAATAACAATGGCCAAGCTCTCTATGAGGGTAGTTCTTAGTTTATGATGATAATTGGGACTGGGATTGCCACTGCTAAGGATTACAGTTTTCATATGACCCCATTGTTTAGTGACAATAATTCTGTCAGACCTGATTGTTGCCATTAAGCAAGAGCTGAGGAGATAGTTAAGCAACTACCTCATGTGACTGCAACTTGTAACTCCTGACATTTCCCCATTATCTTTGTTTTGAGAAGCTAGCAAACTGTGATCATGTGACTATGTCTTATTGTGATATCATAATCATGAAGCAGGCACCAAGGGCCTAGATTATATATAATCACATAACTGCACAGATGCCGCAACAGCCAGAACTCTGAGGACTCATCACAAGTCTCTCTTGTTCAATGCCTTTGCAAGTCTCGCCATTGAACAAATGGTTGTAACCCAAGGACTACCTGGAGAGATTTTGGTCTTGTTCTGAAAAATAGGTTAAAACTGCTGAAATTTAAGATCTTGGCATTTGTAAGATATTGTTGGAGAGAGAGGAATCATCAAACAGGGAATTAGTCTGGAATTCCTATGTGGGCATAAGAAGAGGAAGTCTGACTTCTTTTGAATGCTATTGAACCTTATCTAGTCTGATCCAGGTGCAAACTACCAATTTGAGAAGATTCCTTTTATTGCTTAAGCAATAAAATAACTAATTGAAGTCTTCACATGTGGATCTGATTGTTTGTGCCTGACAGATATTGGCCCATTATATGAGCTTCTACAATGGCACCTGAGCCTGAAAAATTTATCAGCTCCTGATCTATGATATTAATGATGCAAAATATTATTTAATTAAATTCAGCTGTTTAAAACCTGTTTTACCTATTTAGCATTCTTCACATATATATGCCCTGAGTCACTGAATAGTATATTTGAGCACCAATTTGAGCACCAATTTGAGGAAGTCTTGCCTAAAGTGCAGAATATGATATTAAATTGTTTTAAAATAAAATATATAGATTAAATTCAACCAGTAAGGCATTTCAACTAAGTATCCCATCTGGGGGTTGATATATTTATCTGAACTATTATTATATTGTCATGGAGAACATCTATTTGGTTGCCAGGAGTCAACAACTTGATAGCACATTCATTCATTCATTCATTCATTCATTCATTCAATCAATCAATCATTTATTCATTCATTTTATTACTTTTCCATAAAGGGCTTTCCTAGAATAATCCTTCAGCCAGCATGGCACTGTCCAGGTTAACTGCTGAAGGTTACATGGATAACATCAATTTGGAAAGGCTGATCTGTTATACCAAATATCTGCCCCAAAGAATAGAATATAGAACTCTAAATACAGACTGTATAATCACAAGTTCAGATAATTGAAGGGCAGCTAATATAAGCTCACATCAGTAATATCTTTATGCAATACAATATATAAACTACTTAAAGATCAGTAGAGACTTGAAAATAATTGATCTTTTCATAATGTGGTACATGCAATTGTGTAAGTGTGTGTGATTGTGTTTGTGTATGTTCATGTCCCATTCTTTTCTGGTTGTGTTAGACTAATTGGAAACAGGCTGAAGAAGCTGTCGATAGGAATAACTCAAAAAAGGTCACATATATTTACATAAAGGAAAAGCACCCATCATTTGGAAAGAGAAAAGTGTTTTGGGAGGGTGGCAAAGAAGAATTTAGCTGTGACGAGCAGCGTGGCAGAATAAGTGAAATTGGCATTTTCAATTTGTACTCTGACATGTCTCATTTGGGGCCCTGGCATCTCAGAAAGGCATACAGCCTGCAGCTGTCCGAAACACTTATTTGCATTTCTCTGCCCTGGATCTTTTTGGAAATGAATTCCTTTTGAATAGGGTACAAAGTGGGAACTGGCAGATTATTAACTCTTTAGAAACCCAAGCTGACAAAAACAGTTTACACAGAAGAGACAGATATGTGCATTTTTCTTTGTTTCACATAACATGACCCTTTCTACCTGACAAACATATTTTGGTGGTAATTATTAAGACTTCTAGTGATCTTCTGCAACATATGACATGTAGATCAAGGACTTAGGCAAGATAAGGGTTCATGCTCATGAATAATCAACTTTATTATAATACCTCTTATGACATTAAGATGTACTGTGTGTGTAGTACATCTCTTTGACTCCTCTTGCTTTAAGATACGATATTTTCCTTCCTTCCTTCCCCTCCCCTCCCCTCCCCTCCCTTCCTCCTGAGGGCAATCTTAGCAGCAGACATTGCATAGTTCAGTGATGGCGAACCTTTTAGAGACCGATTGCCCAAATTGCAACCCAAAACTCACATTTATCGCTGGGTGCCAGGTAGGCGTGGTCTACTGGGTGGGCGTGGCTGTGGTGGTCATGGCAGACTGGGTGGGTGTGGCCAAGGTGGGCATGGTCACCTCAATGTTTCTCGTGGGGAGGGATGCCTGTGGGGGACAGGCAGGGCTGGGGGAGATCCAGGGGGTCTCTGGCAGGTGGGGCGGTGGGCAGGAGGCTCGTCCTGTGGGGTAAGGCGAGGCAAGGTGAGGCAGGGCAGGGGTGCCATTGTCACAGGGCAAGATGAGGCAGGGGCCGGGGCAGCTGCCTGACACCATCGGTCCCTGCACACAGAGGCCAGCGAGTGCATGGGGGCCGACAGTGTCCGTCAGCAGCCACAGCCTGCCAGCCCCTCAACCAGCGCACTCTGGGGCTCCGCAGCCCGCTGCC